GGAATCCGGCTCTTTAGAAAGTAGATGTTCAACGGCAAGGCGAGACGGGTCGACAGAGGAAATGAGTTCGACACCAGATGCAATACCTGGAAAGTTGACTTGTGTCTCAAAATCCGCATTGTGCATAGACAAGACTGACGACGGGAAGTGGCAGCAAATATCAGAAATCGGGAGGTCTGGCGAGTCGATAAGCACAGATGCCACACAATCAATCTGTTCCAATAGAATTTCCGCCTGTTCACGGGGCAAGATAGATCGTTGGTATGTTGCCTTTGCACAAATGTGATCTTCTCGGGGCTCAAATTCTAGAAGAAGAGCAAACTCCAAAAATTCCGCGGCGGCTACTTCTTGGAAAAAGGTGTCTTGATGTTTACCTGCCCAAATACTTTCTTGCCACACGAGAGCACTGTCAAAGAGGCTCCTGCTGGGGTTTATCCCTGAGGCCTTCTTGATGTCTTGGAGAGGGAGACTGCCATGTTCAAGAGACTTGCGGTTCATATTCTGAATTGCCAGCAGAAGATCGGTTATACGCTGCATCTTGTCGATATTCATGCGTGTTGGCAGGATCCGGATACAGGGTCCTAGGACTGCCTCTATTCCTTTGATTGGTAATGTTCGACCTGAGGAGACGGTGCCGAAAACAACATCACCAGTTCCTTGGTAAGAAGAGAGTAGATAGCAGAACGCAGCCTGGAAGACGGACTGTCTACTCACTCGGAGAAGCTGGGAGACTTCGTTGAGTTTCGACACGGAGATATCTAGCACGCGTGTAGCTTCCTCCGTGCCGGGCAAGATTCTGTCTTGTCCGTGGAAGTTGGGGAAAGCTGAAGGAGAGAATCCCTGGAGTTGATCGCGCCAGAAGAGTGAAGATTCCGTCGTAGATCCACGCATTTTGTATTCGACAAAAAAATCCGTCACAATGTCATAGGCTGGTCGAGAGGGAAGCTCCTCTCCTTTTAGGATGCTTTGAAGGTCTTTGAGCATCAATTGCCAGGACCACCCATCGTATAGGGCATGGTGGATATGCACGAGCACCCTCAACTTGTCATGCTCTGTCTTGAACTGGATTCTGAATGGATGTAAAAGGTCATGTTCTGCGCCCAAACTCACGTCGAAGTCAAGCTCGTTGCACGTCTGGAAAAAGTGCTCGTCGAGGGATTTCCAGGTAAAGCGGCCGTAGGATTGATCTTTCAACCCAATTTCCACGAAGCCAGCCTTCAGGATATCATTGTGTTGTGTAAGCCTGATAAATGCATCTTTGGCAGACTCCAGGCTGATTGAGGAGTCAAAATCCAGCTCGACCCAATTGCAGTATGCTTTCATATTTCGAGCCGTCTCCAACAACATGGCTTGCTGAATATGGCTACAAGCCTTGACTGCTGTAACTTGCAATCCCAGTCCGAGGGTTTCTATTCTGGCAGCTCCGGCTTCTGCAACTAACTGACTGATTCTCTGGACACTGTCATTCATGTCTTCGGGTGGTTGGGAAGTCTCCAGTTCTTTAGCCAGCAGCCATATCCCGTCCACAGAGTCAGCCTCTAGCAGGTTCCATACATGCAGGCGAATCCCAGCGCTCAATAGATGGGAGGCGAGACGGATAGCAGCCAACGAGTCAAGACCTGCTGATATCAAACTCTCTGTTTGTGAGGGCCGTGTGCCCAATACATCGGTGATGGCTGAGACGATCGTCTCTTCGGTGGCATCTCTGAATGGTGGCTGGTCCACAGACTGAGTAGTACTCCGATGCTGGGCAAAATCCACCTCAAGCGCCTTGCGATCAATTTTGCCTGATGGAAGCTGCGGTAATTGATTGACAAGCACGAATTCTCCGGGCACCATGAATCGAGGAAGCCACTGACGACAGACATCTCGGAGCACGCTATCAACTGTGCTTTCGCCATCGACGAGCACGAATGCAATCAAGCTCCCATTGCTCACTATGGCCACTGCTGCTCGAACGTTTGGCGCCCTACAGATAACATGCTCAATTTCCCCAAGTTCAATCCGTTGGCCGCGTAGCTTTACTTGGCCGCTGGAAATTCGCCCCAAGCACTCAATGTCTCCTGTGGGTAGCATCCGAGCTTTGTCCCCCGTTCGGTAGAGTCGACCATGCAATGGATGGTCTATGAAAGCTTTTGCGTTTTCTTCAGGCCGGTTCAGGTACCCATCTGCCAACTGAAATCCGCCCACGACCAATTCTCCAATCTGGCCCCATGGAAGAGGTTGGAGCATCTCAGAGAGTGACTTGTCTTCAATGTCGAGTGACACGATATAAGCGGAAACAGTCTTGAACGGCTTCCCAATCAAATTGACGCGAGCATTCGCTTGGAAATGGGTGGCTGCAGTGCAATGAATAGCGGCCTCTGTTGGTCCATACATTCCATGCAGGATGCCGGGCGAGTTGGGCGAGTGACCAAACTCATCCACCACATGTCTGCTGAGCATCTCACCGATAGTAAGCAGGACTTGGAGTGATGGCGCCGCCGCACGCGTGCGCAGCAATTCTCCCGCGACCGTCGGAGTCAACTCTGCGGCTTCGACTTTCATTTCTGTCATGACGTGGGAGATGTCAAGAAGCATATGCTCTCGTTCGGCGCCGATTAGAGTGGCTCCTCGCATCAGGGGAAAGAAAACTTCAAAAACCGAGACATCAAATGTGGGGGACGCAAATTGCAAAAATCGTCTAAATGGGGGTATCAAATCATTATGGGCAAGCAAAGATTGAGTAACGGCCAGATGAGAGATCCCAACACCCTTGGGGTGGCCGGTTGATCCGGATGTATACATCACGTAGGCCAGGTCGGAAGAGGAGATTTTCTTCCATGGCTCTATCGTGATAATAGAATCCTTTGTCTTCAGGTCATCCACGGTAATCACGGCCAGATGCCCGTCTTGAGGTACTCTTGAAGCCAAGCTACCCTGAGTGACGACGACCGAGGCCGCTACATCTTGGACGATGAAATCCACCCGGTCCAGGGGTGCATCAGTATTAAGCGGGCAAAATGCCGCGCCAGCTTTGAGGATTGCTAGCCAAGAAATATACAGCTCAACAGACTGGGGTAGCAGCACAGGCACTACCCGCTTTCTAGAATCATCTGCCGAGGCTAGGCTGCTAGTGATTTCAGCTGCCAGCGTCGTAGAGAGAGCATCTAAGGCGTGATATGTCAAGCTACGGATTTGTCCATCCGCAGCCAAAAATTCAATGGCATTGTTGGAGCCAGATCCCGTGAGTGCAACAAGCTGGTGCAGGAGCTGCGACCCTGGTAGCAGGGACGGAGAAGGGTTCAAAATTGACATCTTCGGCAGCTCGTTGGCAGACAGTTTCACCTGAATGCCCATCTGTGCTGCTTGCTTTTGTACGAATTGCTTCAGCTGCCTGCCCAGTTGGTACAAAAATGAATCATCCACAATCGTCGAGTGCAACACACCCGACTGCGTCGTTGGATCCAGGAACCAGGTTAAGGCACCCGATGCTGGTGCGTGCGTGGATGACGGACCGGCCTCAATAATAACGGCCGTGTGCCTTTCGGAAGCATCAGAGGCTGCATCCAGCACAGCCGGCTGGATAGTCCGAGTCGACAAGTCCACCTTGACCGGCTCCGTGTTCAACCGAAATACCGGATGCTCGTCCGTCGTAAAGGCATGTAACAAGCTGGCCCATGACCGGACATAAACGTCTGAAGGCAGGAATAGCTCATCCAGCTGCCATGGAACAACGGCGGGCGCCACAGCCTCGCCGTCGCTGACCGGGAATTGCGTGTATCGATCCATGGCCATCTAGTCACAACGGTGTGAGAGAGAGTAGCGGTCACTGCATGTTCCTGTCGGCGGCTGCTTAAGCTTTCCGCTTATTAGAGCAAGAAGCAACGTGAGTGGCTGCTAGGGTCACAGGAGCTTACGGAGGTGGTTCGCTACTCTGGTCTGCTCCAAAGGCCCGTGGTATGGATACGGAGGGTGGGCAGGATAAGCGACATCAAAGTCAAAAGCACGCGGGCGGAAGAAAAAATAAACATGGACAGGGTCTCCCAATCATCCACTTGGCTCGCCCTACTTCGGCTGATTTTCGTGCATAAGCACCGAGACCAACGCCGAAAAGTGTGGGCGGTAGGAGTGGGTAGGGTTATGAATAAATGACCAGGAAGGGCATCAAGGTCCGAGGGCATCGGCGGGTCCGTTCTGTGGGTGTTGGTTGTATTTCTTTTCTTCTTTCTTGTTTCAATAATGCTGTTTACAGGGTATGATTTTTCTATGGGAACAGGGAAGATGTCTCGATGACGTGACCTAACGCTCACGCACGAACTAAGCTCCGATCGGATCGAACTGGGGTTGGCCACGCCTTGACCGTGAGGGCCCAAACACGGGCTGCAAAACACTCGTCTCCACCCGCCAAGGTGTCGTCGTAGAGATGGACAAACTCGTCCTTGCCTCCCCGACATCGGGCTCCAGTCGGGCCACTCTTGTTTTCACGTTCAACCGCAGCCATTACTAATAACCCTCGTGCTGTTGCCTGCTCAATCTAGCACAGCGGGGATGTCCTTCTGGGTTGCAGACAGACCACGGAGAACATGCGGTGGAGCAAAAGACTATCTTCCAGGGATAAATATCGCGGACCGAACAGCGGAGGATTTTGAAAAACCAACTTTAGCGGATCTCCTGATTGATAAACGAACGAACCTTGAAATTATCGCGCCCATTAATCCTTCGCGCGACTCGCCTGTTCCCGTTGGCCAGTCCTCGTATCCACCCATTTTATCTGATCCGCTCAATAATTACAGCAATACCGAATCTCGTACCACGACCATCTCCCACCCCGGCATCCGACAGTCGCCTCGTGGGTCCATGGTGGAGCGGACGTGAACTTGGCTGGTCTAAAACGGCACTGGATTAATACCTTTTCCTGCAGCAGTTGCTCTTCATAAATTTAAATAAAGCCACCGAGGCCCGTCAGCTCCCGAAGCTACATATCTCCCACCCACCCTCCATTTCTGCACTAGACTACCATGGAGCATATATCCCGGAGGCCCGAGCTAAGCTTCCTGGACGACATGGAGCAGCCCCGTGGGCAAGCTCCCTCCGGCCGGTCCCTGCTGGGATCGACGCCCACAGACGAGATGCACGACCTGCTATGCGTGGGGTTCGGTCCTGCGTCCCTGGCCATCGGCATTGCCCTGCATGACGCCATGGATCCCGCGCTGAACTATTCGCGTGCCAATCCGAACTGGAAACCCAAGGTGTGCTTCCTAGAGCGCCAGAGACAGTTCGCCTGGCACTCGGGCATGTTGGTCCCCGGCTCGCGCATGCAAATCTCCTTCATGAAGGACCTGGCTACCCTGCGCGATCCGCGTAGCAGCTTTACCTTCCTAAACTACCTCCACCACAAGGGCCGCCTGGTCCATTTCACCAACCTGGGCACCTTCCTGCCGGCTCGAATGGAGTTTGAGGACTATATGCGCTGGTGTGCCCAGCGCTTTGAGGATGTCGTTGCCTACGGCGAGGAGGTCGTCGAGGTGGTGCCGGGAAAGACCGATGCCCGCGGCGCCGTGGAATCGTTTACCGTCCGCTCGCGTAATGTTGGAACGGGCGAGATCACCTCGCGGCAGGCTCGCAAAGTGGTCATCGCCATCGGCGGTAAAGCCAAAATGCCCCAAGGTTTCCCGCAAGACCCGCGCATCATGCACTCGTCCAAGTATTGCACTGGGCTTCCCGCCGTGCTGAAAAGCGAATCTGCGGCGTACAATATTGCCGTGGTGGGCAGTGGCCAGAGCGCGGCCGAGATCTTCCACGACCTGCACCGCCGGTATCCGAACGCGCGTACGACGCTGGTCCTGCGTGACTCGGCTCTCCGGCCTAGTGATGACTCTCCTTTGTGCGTCGTTCCTCCCAAATTCCAGGATTTTTGCTGAATTGCTGTCTAGTGTGAATGAAATCTTCAACCCCGAACGCGTGGACAAGTTCTTCCAGCTGTCCGCCGAAGAGCGCAGTCGCGCCATTGCTGCAGACAAGGCCACCAACTACAGCGTGGTTCGTCTGGAGCTGATCGAGCAGATTTACAACGACCTGTACCTGCAGCGGGTGCAGAACGCAGACGAAAAGCAGTGGCAGCATCGCATCCTGCCAGAACGGCAGATCGGCCGCATCGAGCACCACAACCCAGCGAATCGTATGCGCGTCCACGTCCGGTCGACGCGTCCCGATGCCCCCGCGGGACACGACCGAGAAGTGCTGGAGGTGGACGCCCTGATGGTGGCGACGGGGTACCAGCGCGATGCGCATGAAGAGCTGCTGGGCCCTGTGCGCACACTACGCCCCGCCGGCCAAGCGGCCTGGAATCCTGGCCGGGATTATCGTGTCGAGCTGGACCCCGGCAAAGTCAGTCCCCAGGCCGGCATCTGGCTACAGGGTTGCAATGAAAAAACCCACGGCCTCTCCGACAGCCTTTTGTCGGTGTTGTCGGTCCGGGGTGGAGAGATGGTCAGCTCCCTGTTCGGAGATCAACTGTCAGGGAGCTTGTTCCAAAATACCCGGTTGCGCGCCATGCTGTGAAGAACACCAATCCTTTCCGGTGTTGATAGAACTAAAGATTTGGTGTAGAGTGTTTTCACCTGCTTGATGATGATCCCCCCACTTAAACTTGTCTAATGTTATTCTCCGCTATACTCCTATACAAGTGCATTTTGTATGCGATAGACTACTAGCCTTCTGTGCGGCTATTTGTGTGAACTGAAGACCACCCAGCAGGGCACCAATGCCCGAGACATCCGTGGCGTGATGCCGATCTGGAGTTTTCTAAAAGGAGAGAGGAACCCGAGAAAACACGTATATACACAGTAAATTAGGATTGTTATTATTACCGTAGGGTACTAGTATTCTTCTAGATCCATTCTGCAGTTCCTAAGCGAGAACTAAACCGTCCGAGGTGTCATGGCCGACGCTTGGCAGATTGAATTACTGGCTGAAACGGCAGGCTATAGTCGTATGGATGTGGGTCGGTGGCGCATCAGATAACGCACACGCGCGAGAAGATTTTTATCTGATCGAAAACCCCCTGTACGTAACATGTCACCCAGCGTGGTCCGATTCCGGCCAGTTCGGTTCGAACAGGGCCATAATGTGTATGTTGTGTGTCGTACAAGGTGGGCCCTACATCTTGGTTCTTGTTCTAGAGCGGCGGTCATGTCAATCTCTTACTCAACAGCGTAGAAAGTGGACTCGACGGTCTCCTTCTCTAGTCGCTTCTCACTTCCGAGACCCGCAGAGTAATCGGAGTACGGCCGTAGGGGTGACCAAATCCACAAATCGAGAAATCGCTTGGCAGCCGACTGGGTGAAGAGGTGGCTGGCATTGAGATCGGCCGATGTGACAGTCGTGTACAGGTGGAGAAAAGTCCATCTCCCGACTGCGTTGTATACCAGAGGTTCCTGGGCGGGTTTGTTTGGCCTGCATACCGTCGGTGTTGGATCCAACTGCTAGCAGGGAATACACTGATCGTATATGTCTAGATCTACGCCAAGCTCTCTTATCCCTGACACTACATAGTCCCGGCCCAAAAAGAAACATCATTATCTAGCATCAACTGTACAAGTTCTCTAAATGCATCGAGAAAAAGTGAGATCCATGTCGCCTGCCCCAGGTAAATGCTCTCAGAAGAAGAAAGAGGAAAGAGAAATACACGACACGCCTGCTCAGACCATATGCTCCGGGTCCTCGTCGGCCACGCTGCGGTATGCCGGTCCCTCGCGCGATCGACTGCCTCCACTACGCATGCGCATCGGGACTTCGTACATGTGGTGATAGTTCACCACCTCGCCTCCAAGCATGCCAGACCCAGACTCGCGTTTCCCGAAAAGAGGGGCCGGGTCGCACCAGAAGTCGCGGCAGTTACCCAGCAGGCCACGCGAGAAAGGATTCTGCGGCCGAGACGACCCACGTCCCTCGCGTAGCCCGTCTCGAGCAGTATCCCGCGCAGTCGCAAAGAAGGTATCGATCCCCAGGAGAGATGACCACTGTTGGAGACAGCCATGTCGCCGCCGGGGGGATGAGGATGTGCCAGAGCTGGGTTGGGGCCCTGGCCGGAAGCTGAGAGGCCAGCCGCGTCCAGTGAGGTGGTTCCGGCGGTCATGGCTGATGCAAAGGCTTGCGAACTCGGATACGAACGATCAATCGAGTTGCCTCTCATGTTCTCGTAGGTCGTCTGGTTGCGAGAGATCTGGACCAGCTGGACCGCACACAGCATCGTCACCCAGATGAGCTGCAGAGTGATCCAGACGTTGAGCACCAGTGTAAAAGTGTCACGAGACACGTAGTCGCACAGCGTGTCATTGATGATGTTGCACTTAGCGTTCTTAGGTGCGGGGAGGGTATTGATATCTAGGTTGTTGTGTCAGCTAGTGATGTCAGAAGGGAAGAAGCTGATACTCACATGCAATAGTAAGCTGAACAAACAAGATGATGCCGATTTCAAGGCAGACAATGTATAGCACGAAATGGCGGATATTATTGGCTCCGACACAATTGTCGATCCATGGGCAATGACTAATTTGAAGGGTTAATCGATTATCGGTAAAGAGAGACAAGAAGAAGAAAAAAAACGTACTGGTCATGCTTCGCAACGCAGCGTCCACAGCGCCGGCAGTGCTTGCTCCGCAGAGGCTTTCTTGCCATGCAAGGAACGCAGAAATTCTCCTCGTCAAACTTCCACTGCTCGAAAAGCTCCTTGACAACCTCCCTCTGTTGGTTTCGACTGCTCAGCTTCGGCACATAGCCCGGGTCTTCGACCATCGAGATGATGTAGAAATAAGCTGTCAAGCCAAAGAAAACCGCAAACAGAATGTTCAAGATGAGAGACGAGGAATAAGTCGCTAATCACCTGTCAGCCTTGGTTCCTGGGGGCTTGGGATTTTGACCAAGTACATACCGGGCAACACTTTGAACACATATCGGAAGCCCACCCAGAACAGTGTTCCGGCAAACACACCGGCTAAATACGGCTGCAAAGATATCAGATTAGCCACATATTCTTCGGCTCTGGGACGACTTGCGACATACTGTCTTTTGAAGAACGCGATACTCGGACGGGCCTCTGTTCGCAACTTGCTGCGCCATCCACTGCATCCCAAATACCACCAGCAGCATGAGCGGGACGCCAATGAAGATCACCAGGTTGCTCAAAATCCAGATGGCAATCAAGACGGTGAAAAAGGGCCAGATGAAGAAAAACTTGCCCATGAGGCTCTTGTTGCGCACATAACTGGCCATCCCCAGCGGCATCTCCTTTTGGGTGCCGTCAGCATCGAAACCGCGCTCATTCAGCGCGCGGTACCATGTCCGCAGCGTGTTCATCTCCTGAGCCACCGTTGTGGGGGACTTGCCATCTGTTGTCTTTGTAAACCGGTCCGCTCCATATTCCAGCAACTTCAGGACACAGGGCAACGAGCCCTTGACCAACGCCCAGTGAAGAGGGCTCAGTCCGCCTTCGTCCACCGCATTCGCGTTGGCGCCCCATCGCAGGAAGAGATCCACGCACGCCGGGTATCCCTTGTATGCGGCCCACATCAACCCGGTATGGCCTTGCTGGTCCACCACGTCCACGGGTATATCCTGTTGTAGGAGCAACACGAGCAGGAATGCGTTGCCGTCAATTGTCGCCAGGTGAAGGATGTTGTACCCTTGCACGTCGGTCAGGAGAGGATCCGCGCCGTGGTGGAGCAGTAGGTGAACGATATAGTAGTGACAGCGTTGGGCCGCCCACATGGCCGGCGTGGCCACGGATTCTCCTCCTTTGGCGTTTACGTCGGCACCGTGGTCGAGCAGGAATCTGCACATCGCGTACTGGTTGTTGATAGCCGCCCACTTTTCAATCCACACTGTTAGCAAAAGATCCGGGCTCCTGGGGGTCACCAACGGGGGAGAGAGCGCACATGTAGCGGAGTGATGCCTTCCTCATCGCGGTGGTTCGCCGTGAATTTCTTGGCCGTGAACAAGTTCTGCATGGCACCAATCTCACCCATCCGTGCCAGCTGCATGATATCTTCCTCCACCGGGAGGGAGCCTTTGGCGCCATCGGGTTGCATGTTCTTCATTTCGACTTCGGCGTTCGGCGACGACGTTTCTTTCGAGGTTGAGGTGGACGCGGTGCCCGAGTTCCCACCGGCCGGACTGCTGCCCGGGGTGTCAGACGAGGAAAGCTTGGACATGGCGAGTGAAGTCGAACTCTCTGTCGCGGTCTGCGGCTGCCGTAAGCCGGTGGTGATGGCAGGCGGGAAAAGGAAAGGAGCGGAAAGCGACGAGGGCAGGAAAGTGAGATGAGCTGGATAACTAAGCGAACATAGCCAACGCAGGCGCAGTCGACAGAATAGATTCGCCCGGGTTGTCGTGGCTTGGGCGTGGCAATGTGAGAGAGAAAAAAAGGGAAGGGGAGGAGGTCGCGGACGAGTAAGGGAGAAAGCACACCAACCAGTCACGCCAGCCAGATGTCGTCTTCTTGTCTGGGAATACTGCACCGAGGTATTCTGCAGTCTATTCCCTCTACCACAAAACTTATTATCATCCTCGTCTCTATCCTCACTGATGCTGTTCGTGGGTTGGCCGCTGACTCAGCCAGGCAGCCGTGTTCCCCGACTCTGTTGATCCTGCAGCAGATGATGGTGTGTTGCCATTATTCTAGTACATTATTCTTATTGTAATTCACATACATTGAGCTGTCCGGCTCAGAATCCGTCGACGGCGCAGTTCGGCTGTCCTGCACGCGCACTTCCTCCATCAGCATCTCCGCATCCACGCGTAGTTCAAACTCCGCCAGGAAACAAAAGTTGATCTCCAGCTTCGACAGCTCCTGGTTGCTGACGCCGCCCACTTTAGCGAACCGACTGTGCCGAAAGCTCCGGTCCTCCAGAGCCTTGTTAGCTACCAGCAACCCTGCGAGGACCAGCCGGTGCATGTTACGGGGCGTCACCCGGAGCACCTTCTCCGCCAGGGTCATCTTGGTAATATAAACGCTCGTAGCGAGATAGACTGCGGTCGACATAGGACAATAGCGGTGTAGGCGCAGGAGGTAGTCCTTTAGTGCGATCGGGGGCACTTCCTTCGACAGGAACCGCCGGGAGATGATTCCGAGCTGAAGGGCTTCTGCCCGTGCGTAGTTCTCTCCGACATGCACATGCGCGATGTGGACCGGCATAGCTTCTCCTTCTCCTGGGGTCTGGCTTTCCGCCGGAGTAGAGCTGTGGGAGTCGTCTTCGGACGTTTGCGCGAAGAATGTGTTCAGGTATTCGATGTTGTGGCAGAGCAGGCTCAGCGCAGTCTCGGGGGTAATGTCGAAGACATCGGTGGCGCTATTAAGCAACGGCTGCGTGGCGGTCTGTTCGGTCTCATTCGAGTCCAGCTTCAGCAGTGCCCGCGGGGACTGCGTTTGTGTCATGACAGCGGCCATGTCGGGTGGGTTTACTGCCCCACGCAGAAGGGTGGCGAGTCGCCAGTTGTGAGAGGAAGAGCGCACCTGGACCGGCAGGTAGACAGTGGCTCCTCGGATAAATGGCTCATTGTATGGCACAGACGGCTTTGCTCGTTCGTTGTTTGGGGGGAGGAGGTTTTGAAGATATCTCGCGTGGCGGTGGTGGTGTTCAGACGGGAGACGGGGGTAGATCACAACGCGTGTGATCAATACCAGGGGTTTTCGTAGGATTCGAGGTGATGATAATCGTGGGGGAGGATAGATGCGATCTATAATCGGTTGTGCAACCTCTAGGCCCTCACTGCCCAAGTTCACGTGCCCAAAGCCACCGTCGGGTGAAAGGCTCACTTGTGATCCAATCCGGTCAACAGGGGACCCACGGGCGGACCAGCCCGAGTTTGGGGAAGGGAAAATGCGATCAGGGGGAGGAAGAATGAGGATGAGAGAAAGAAAGAGAGAAAGACAATAAAAGGAGATAAGGAAGGACCCACCCGTGACCCGATTAGGGTTGGCGACTACCTAGTAGGTAACTATGTCTTATTGGTCAACCAGGAAGTCTATCTGGTGCCTTTCGCGCCCCTCGGGCATCTTCACCCGTCTTCGAACGGGTTCCTCCCCGACCTGGAAAGAGGATCTTTTCCACTCTCAATGTGGAGCGGAGCCGCTCAACATCTGGGACTAAACGGTATAGAACCTCTATTCCATCTAGTGATAATCAGCGCAGAAACCCCACAATCGAGGACCGATATCCTCGATCACATCAACGGACGCCTAGATGTTCAAGCTCTTCTCATTTCGGTGCTGACCCCTTCATCGAAACAAGGTATCCCTATGTGGTTCAGGACGGATATATTGAAAGCTATACTTCCAGAGCAAGCGGATCCTTCATGAAATATAAATATATGATAACTACTAATAGAGTTAGACATGGACCGTGGATAATGAACTAACATCTCTCAGTTACCTAAGATGAAACCTGTCTATTGCTTTCTTCCTAGGGATAATCTCTTTTATCTAAGCGCTAACTGTCTAACTATAGAACATGCACGCCGTCATTCATTCCCAAAAGAAGGCGGGAGGTATGGATTCTAATACAAGTAGAGCGCTTTCACCTCACCAAGAAACGAACGCCTTTCCCATTCCCTGGTTCCCTAGATGGCCTTATAGTAGTATATTGCCGGTTTTGGCGCGTCTGTGCATCATGGAGAATCCTCTTGCTGGAAGTTTGGATTCTACTATATCCGTCCTGAACCACATAGGGATACCTTGTTTCGATGAAGGGGTCAACACCGAAATGAGAAGAGCTTGAACATCTAGGCGTCCGTTGATGTGATCGAGGATATCGGTCCTCGATTGTGGGGGTTCTACGCTGATCATCGCTAGATGGAATAGAGGTTCTATACCGTTTAGTCCCAGATGTTGGGCGGCTCCGCTCCACATTGAGAGTGGAAAAGATCCTCTTTCCAGGTCGGGGAGGAACCCGTTTGAAGACGGGTGAAGATGCCCGAGGGGCGCAAAAGGTACCAGATAGCTGGGGCTTTCTGGCTGACTGCACAGGGAAATGGGGAGGTGGTCGCCTAGGAGCCCGTGGTTGAACTTTAGGCTCGACCGTCTGAGTCCGCACAGCGGGCGGTCGTTGTATGGCTTTGGCATATGAATATGTATATCGTCGCGTGGACGGGCGAGGCGACCGCTCACGGATTGGGGAGATTATCGTTGAACGATGTTGGGCCGCTCGGCTACGGACATGGTCGTGGCCCTCCGCGCGCCATTGAGGTCGCGGCGGTGATGTGAACTTTTTATCGAAAAGGTGGCAATGGAACAATTGTGAAAACCAGGACTGGGAATGCATATTTCTGGTTTTATTTTGCTGTTTGCGGGCCTGGGTTGGTTGGGCCGGCGCCGGGGAGTCTGATGATGACTCTCGGAACCGGTATGTCTGGCGTTGGGAATGGTTGTTGGAACGGGAAGACCTCGGAGCTCGAGTGACCTTCCGAAGCTTTCCAGGAAGATGGTCACCGTGGACGTCAGTGGTATACATCCGATACACTCGGCGGAAGGGATGCATCTTTGAATGTTGATAAACGACGGATCGAACCCCAAGATATAAGGCAGCGCCTTGAAGGTAAATAGTTACTATCTCCTTTGCTGACACAGAGAGGTCAATGAATGAAAGAACCCGATATAAAACAAAGTGACAATAGATGTATAAATAAAGACTCGGCTTTAAAGGTAACTCAATCTTTGAGCGTTTAGACAAAGGTGAGAAGAGCAAACAATGTCATAAGTCCAAGACAGAAGGCGGCGATCACGATATCGACACAAAGTAAGTGACACACAAAGCAGGTGATTCCAAGTTGTTGCAATGCTAGAGGGGTCGATTTTGTTCGTTGATTGCAGACAAAGCGAAGACCAAAATAGACGATGATTGTCCTGTCCGTCTCTGGATCTTTCGAACTCGACAGCAGAAATGTGCTCCATTTTATATTCGAGGTGTGCGATAAATGCAGATGTGATGAAAGCAGGCAACAGCAGGCCTTTGCGATGCTCTGGAGTGTGGCTGAAGGATCTCAAGTCTCGGGGGCTAGTGACTTGGGCTCGTGATAGGAATCTCTTCAACCCGTGAGCCTCCCAGCGAATCCTTGAAACTGCATATTGACTCAGTACCCAAGGCAGAAAGCACCTTTTCATATCTATATGTAGTCTGTTAAGATCAAAGGGGGTGTTTAGTCCATTGTGGCGTGCACCAGCCACAGCACCAGCCGCCGAATTAGCGGGCCGTGAGCCTGTTGGTAGCGCGCTGCTGAGACTAGCACAACAATCTACTGGCTCAGAGCGCACGAAAAGCCTACGCGCTGTTTTTATAATGACGTGCATCAGGTCGTGCGGGTCTCAAGCCAACTAGGCAGAACCTGCGCCGCTTGCCCCTCAAGTCCATCGCTCGACGAATCGTTCGTAGTTCTTATCCCGCTGATGGAGTATATCCGAGTTAACCCGCTGGATTCCCTTCTGAAGTGTTCCCAAGTCCGCTTCGATGCCTAAGAGCTCTCTTGCTTCATCGGGATCGGGCAGCGAAGTTTCGAAGTGGGAGTTGGAGTGCAAAGACGATGCCAGTAATTGGGATGCCACGTCCCCGGGTCCCAGGTGAGCCACCAGTGGCGAGTCAACTGCTATGCCGATATTCCGGAGTGTCTCGGAGAGTGCGGCTCGTTTTTCGTGAAGCGGCTGGGTGCCACCTTCTTCTGCTCGTGAACGGAGCACGGATTCGGGAGACACGCCAATGCGCCGCAAAAGGTTTTGTAGGGCTGATTGTTCTAGCACAGGGCTAGAAGGATTCCGTGCATTCGAAAATAAGACACCCGGCTGCAATGAACGACGTCTCAAAGAGTCTCGCCGGGATGTTGGTTGTGGCCCGGGTTGCTTAGAAACTTCCATGTGGTAGAGCGCGGCCAGTTGTTCGAGAGTTTCACACGATGATTCACGCTCTCCAAGCCACACTGTCATTTCTTCGCTGGAAAGAGTCATCTCGATCAAGAGGTCAAGCGCCTACGTGCGAGTCAGTTGTAAGGTTCATAAAATGCCTCAGTCAGCATCACAACACACACCTGTTCCAGTTTATGTTGGGAGGCCGCGCGTATTTGGCTGTGTTCGTTTTGTATCTCTCGTAAAATGGGCTCAGTGAACTTTTGCTTCGTGGACATGTCCGCTAGGACCTCGATCTCGGGATACAGAGACCCTAGTTCTTCCTCCAGCGCTGCGATGGTCTCGTCATCGTCACCTTTACCACATCCCAGCGCCGAGTCACCTGTCAGTACCGATTCAAGGAACATCCGGTCGAGACGAAACTGGATTTCCTCTGCCACGTAGACCGCCAGCTGTGCAGTCAAATGGGAGGCTCGTTTGATGATCGAAGCATTGTTACCATCAGACTTCACGCCGGAAATGACTGCCTCCAAGCCTGCAAGCGTCTTGTCGTCCTGCTTCAGCCGAGTGGACAACAATGACAGTATTCTCTTGTTCTCGGCGCTGGCCTTGTCCATCGCATCCATAAAGCTGACCTCAAGCTCGTTATAAAGTTCACTGGCCTGCAAGACGTCAGTTGCCCATTTTACGATCTTGTGGCCCAAGGAAGAACTACCGCAGCCGTCGTGTTTTGCCTTCCCGCTTCATGCTTCTTGCGCAGTCTCGCGATATCCCGACTTCGGTTCTGGGCCAGTCCGTTTTCGAGGCGGACTTGCTCATTGAGTTGTTCGCATTGGGATGTCAGCGTCTGTGTCTGCCGTTGGATGGCTGCGGTCGACGCTTCAAGAGATTCGATCGCGCATCGGAGGTCGCCTTCCAGCACAGCCCGAGTCGCGCCCAGCGTTGGGTCGTGGAGAACGGTCTGCAGGGAGCCTGACCTTTCCAGTTTGGAGTATCTAGCAAATTCGGTTAGCTGGTCACCGTTAGCTGAGTCGGTGAGACCTGCACTGTGAGCTCTTCTCGGGACAACAGGGTGTCGGGGCGGAGATGAGTGGACACCCATTCCACGTGTTGGGGATTGTCTCGCAGGGCCGATTCGATCACCTCAGGCTCGATGGACAGACCGCGTTCTTTGAATGCCGCGATCACCAGATCGGTCGGAGAGTGGTCCATGCTGGTCGGTAATGGCGTGAGTCCGGGGAAGTTGTGGTCGGTGACCAATTGTACTGACTATGTGGGCATGGATGACCGGCAGCGTCAAATATTGGGAGGGTGCATCTAATGGGTGTCTTTCGAGTACTGACTGAAAGTAGCGGGGAGTGTCCATGACTACGAAGTGAGCCTTTGCGGTGAGGTGAGGCATCACGTGAAAGTATACACAATTTTCCCGTTTGGGCAGAAGCAAGAACCAGAGTAAACAACAAGAGGTATCAATAATAGTAAGTGCTAGCAGTACTTATTACACATCCGGGAAACACACAAAATTAGTCGCCCATCTCCGACGCAGACACATATTCAAACTCCAGTTTCCACTGGTCAATCTCCGCAAACTTCTTCGCGGCAGCTCGCAGCTCCGCGCTCGTGAACCGAGGCGTCGCCCGTATTTCAGTCTCGGTCTCAGTGTCTGAATCCGGAGGAGAGGATAAAGGTGATGATCCCGGTGAGGAGAGAGCCAGCTGCTCGTTCTCTTTGTCAACAGAACGCGAGTATGTAGCTGCTGATCGCGCGGCTTTAGGCTTCGCCTTGGTCTTGCGCGTTTTTGGCCGGTTGAGCTTGGAAGACCTATCCTGAGTACTGGCCAGAGGCTTGCGTGGCCGCCGAGAGGGGACGTAGCTCAATTCATCTTCGTCGCCAGACGCGGCATCGTGCTCTTTATCGCTATCGCTTGGAACCTCAAATTCGTCGCCTGCTCGGTGCTTGCGCCGACGTTGACGCCGTCGGGGCAGAAGCCTATCCTGCAGCGCCGCGGTGGACAGATAAACTGGGTCTTTAGACTTGGACTTGGTGTTGGCATTTTCTTCCATGGCCACAGGCGTAGTACTGGTTCGGGAGCGCCCAGAAGGGCTCCACGGAGGACTGCTGCTGGCTGGTGGTGCAAGTGTCTGGCTGAGGACCTCTGGAAACTGCAAGGGCCGCGGTGTATCCTCCGACACATGGGAGACCTGGTCACCGCCCTGATCGCGGTGTACAGGACTAGCAGTCAGGGTGTCCCTTGCTGCAGATGGTGATTCTGGCTCTGGCTCTGGCTCTCGTGCTTGTGCTCCTCTTGTCGCGCGCTTGCGCTTGCGCGAACCACCGGATGATGGAGGTGATTGGGAGGGCGACTCAGCAGGCTTGTGGATCATTGATTTCCGCGCGAGATTCAACGGTGTAGACTCATCCTGAGGGCTCAGGCCTCCGAGAAAGTCGCTGTCGTCCAGGTCAGATGAACCGTCCTCCGCCTGCACCATATGAAGGATACTCTGCTGGCGTGGTCGTCGTCGGAAGTTGCTCAGAACAGAGCTTTCAAAGGCCGGGGTGCCGGGCACTCGCGAGCTCATGTCACCTTTACGGCCTGCGAAGGAAAGAGTAGACGAGTAGCCTCGAGATCGCGTCGGTGGTCGACTGGCCGTGCCGGGTCGACTCCCGGTGCCCATGCGCTCGCCCATCGGCGACGACTCAATTGCATTCTCGTAGCTCTTGGTCATGGGGGTTTGGCTGCGCAGTCGGTGCCCGGGGTCCAACGTCGAGCCCCGTTCGGGGGAGTTGGGCGCATTCGCGGAGGCATTATCGCGGGTTGTCTGTTCGGTTGAATCGGCGCTAGGAGCAGGAGGAGGGCCTTTATTCAAGGGCCGAGTTCGTTTGGGAGCTGGGCGCGGCATGGTGTTGGGAGGTTGTTTTGTTGTGTTGTGATGGGAAAGCAGCAGCATCAACAACGCGTGTTTTGGGGCAGACGCGTGCACGTGCCACATGGTCCTGTATACTTTGGGTCTACACTTCATTTGTTCATAGTATTTGTTTATCCCTATGTAGGTGGTAATGATCAATTGAGTCTGATTTATGATCATCATTTTCATTCCACTCGGTCAATAAATAACCCACCCTTCTCCCTGGTTGTCACTTTCATTATCTAACGAAGTCACTTGCCCGACCCGCCACGGAACTTGCTCCGTCTTCCGTTCAGCGACACTCTTCTGGGAATATTATTCCCCATGGCTTGCCCCCCGGTCTTCCCCAGGATTCGAAACCTCGCTTGTCCATTGCGGCGTCGTTGAGCTCACCGGTTCATGGGTAACGAGGCTTGATTCGCTTTGTCCGAGGCCTATAAGTATCGGATGCGTACCGCTATGCCAATGGCCCACTCGATCCTTGGATTGCAATCGTTGGAGGAAGAAATATACCAAAGTGCCAAGGCGGGGTTGATCCCAGAACGAAAGATTAGCAGCCCATGTCTCCATCGCCGGAGAAAGAGGACCGCTTGATGAGCCCCGCCGGTGAGCTGTCAAGCGGCCAGAAAAAGCGCTCGAATTCAGAGGCAGCCGAATATCCCCGACGGCGAGCAACCATTGCATGTCAAATATGTCGACTACGAAAGACACGATGCAACGGAGCCCGGCCCAAGTGTCAGCTCTGCACCGACCTCGACGCCGACTGCGTCTACCGCGAGCCTGGGATCAAGCTCGATGCCGGAGACAAACTGATCCTCGAGCATTTGGCCCGCATTGAAGGCCTGCTGCACTCCAGTCTAGCAGGACATGACCTTCCTCCTCCTCAGTTGGCGCTGGCGGCGACCTCTCCAACCACGAGTAATGACTCCAACATCGGTAGCGATGATCCGTCCGCCAGGCCATCCAGCGCCGTCCATGTATCCAGCAGAGTTCCCGTCTCCGCGGGCCTTGGAGGCTGGGCGAACCCGCCTCCGCCCATGAGCATTTCGACGATGCCCAAGATGCACACCACCCCAGCCCTGAATCTGCTGCAATGGCCCCTGATCCGGGATCTGGTTTCGGGGCCTTACGACCCGCAGAATCTACTGCAGTTGGAAATGGCTCGCGAACCATTGCGAATGACCCCAAACTCGGGGTTCGATCTTGCCAACGCAACTACATATGTGCGTGCCTTCTTCACGCATGCGAATGTTTGGTATGCTTGTGTAAATCCGTATACTTGGAATAGATGCTACCAGACGGCTCTCGCTCATGGATTCCAGGACGGCCCCGTAAGCTGTCTGGTACTTTTAATACTGGCCCTGGGAAGTGCCAGTCATCATGGGAGTATATCCTTTGTGGCACCAGACGGCGAACCCCCAGGACTTCCATATTTTGCGGCCGCGTGGAACCTCCTACCATCGGTCATGATGCGCAATACGGTGATTGCGGCACAATGCATGGTCCTGGCCTCTGCATACTTGTTCTATCTCGTCCGGCCGCTGGAGGCATGGATGTTGTTGTCGAACGTGAGCATTAAATTACAGCTGTTGTTCGGCGGCAGCCCGAACCGCGTGCCGTTGCAATGGCGAGAGCTCAGCGTGCGCGTGTATTGGAATGCATTGCTCTTCGAGAGTGATCTACTCGCGGAGCTGGACCTGCCACACTCCGGTATAGTGCACTTTGAAGAGACGGTAGATCTCCCGGGTGGGTTCGAGGAGGAAGACGACGAGGACGAAGAAGAAAGAGGCCATGAGAATACCAAGGCGCCTGCTGGTCGGGACGATCTCTGGTACTTTCTGGCTGAGATTGCACTGCGTCGACTTCTGAATCGAGTGAGCCATCTCATCTACCAGAAAGGCAGCACCCACACGCTTTCTGCTCTGGGTCCTATCGTCTCTGAGCTGGACTTCCAACTATCCCAGTGGTACGATAGCTTGCCTAGGCCCATCCAATTTCCTCTCGCGCAAGTACCTATCTCCAACTCCGTTCAGACGGTCCTCAGACTACGGTACAATGCTTGTCGGACCATTATATACCGCCCGTATATTCTAGCAGTGCTCGAAAAGGAAGAGGCTGGAAACGATCAAGGAGTCCGAGAGTGTTGTCGGCGTTGCCTGGACGCCACCTTGCGCCAGCTAGAACATATCACTCAGCATCGTGAAGGCCACCTGCCATATTTATGGCAAGGCGCTCTGTCGATGGTATCCCAATCACTCTTGATCATGGGTGCAACCATGTCTCCCACCCTCTCGACCTTGTTACCGCCTGCCGGGAAAGTGGACGCGATCATTTCCAACGTGGTGTCCGAGGTGGAGCGATATGCACACCTAGCGCCGAGCTTGAAATTATCGGCAGAGATTATTCGCGACGCTGAGCAACGGCGGCAGATATGTCTTCGCTCAGCCGGCATTCAGATATAAGTTCTAGATTTGAGGGAGATATATCATGGAGAGAGCAAGAGAGAAACATGTCTTGCTAAGCCAAGCCCAAGACCGTTGGCACCGTATAACTACAATTCACAAACAGGCAGGTAGAGAGCGCCTGTAATCGATACAACGAAGCGTGGCAATTAACGTATGTTTTCGGGTTTTCCAATCATAAATTGTCACGAGAAACTGGCGGAGTCGTGGTATCTTCAAAGGTAGACATCGCAAGGGACGGAAAATGTATATAGACGACGGAGAGACTGTATGTCAAGGTATGGGCAGAAGGGAAAAAAAAAAAAACATGAAACGCCATATATACTTCCTAGATCAGCACCCATTCACTGCCCCGCTTGATGAACTTGTCGAGCATCATGCCCACATCAGTCAACGCGAAGCGGCACACATAGAAGCCAAAGAACTCGGCAGCATGTCGTGTGCTGAGCTCCAGACCGACATGCGTCGGGGACGAATGTTTCAGTCCAGGATCCTCGACCTGCTGGGCGATTTGATCTAAAGCTGGATTAGAACTCAAGGATCAACAGTAGCGATGAAAGACTTACCTAGAACCTGAGCAGCATCAAAGAGACGAGCCAACGCACCCATGTAGTTGGCATTGGGCCCTCCCAATTCCAGTTGAGTGACATTGCGCTTCGGATGGGTCGAAGGAGTCGAAGACATGGGGAGCGAGTTCAGAGTCAGATTGTCCTTGTTGCTTTCCCTGACGCTTGCCCCCGGGGCGCTGGCAGCTCCTACTCCGGAAGTCTTTGACCGTAGCCGTTTCCAGGACCGTAGGGACGATGACTTGTTGCTCGTACTGGAAGTCTTGGTGGGTACATTT